AAAAAAAGAATAATGAACTAGAACCATGAACAGTATAACTTAATAAAGAAACAATGAAGTAGTTGTTTTTTAAAAGTAAAATCACCTGTGCAATAAATACAGTAACAAGACAAAAGTGTGAATAATATTAACAACAATTGAATAAATAGGTAACAACTAATTCTACTAAAAATATAACAAAATAATTCCACGAGGCATGTGTCTCTTTCACCGTACTCATTTAAACACATGCCCATATAGGCAAAAGCATATATTTCACTAACCCTGACAATAGAGGCTGCATTCGAGTGTTGGCACTCGCATGTTTTTTAAGTTTCAAATTTAACCAAAACCTTGAAACTGGCATATGAATCTTCAATTATACACATTCTATCCCCTAAATTGTTTTTAAATTAGGAAGTTACTTCACAGGCAACAAGTTAACTGTATTTTAAGATCAACATACAGCGTATAACTGCCAAACATGCGCCATAAAAATTCAGTTAACATAATCCCCGTAGACTTTGTGTTCAGTATTCCTCCCTTAAAACAAGCAATACATCTTGCCTGAATTTTCCTGCAACTCACATGGGATTTTAAATTTACAGTAACATCCCTGTGTGATAAATTCTTGAAATAAAATGACAGTAATTTTCTACAATTTAGCCAAAAACTAAAACAAGACACCACACTCTAATGCAGACTTTACTTAAATCCCTCACTTTAATGAATGCTTTCTTGTACTAACAGGGAAAAACTCTACAGACCAACTGTTTTGACTAGATTATCCTTACAAATATATATATAATATATATATATAGATATATACTTACATACAAATGAAACTCAAAATCTTGTAAATTTAAAATATTTGTAAATTGAAAACAATAAATACTAATATGATGTTAAAATAACTGACTTATAACATTATAAAGACTGATATTAACCTGACTAGCTAAAACTCGACTACCCTATTAAAATTACTACAGAGAAACGTATGGTATTTCTTTAAATGACATTTGTACACCAGATAATTTGAAGTTCGAATAACTTTTTAATACAAGTATCTATAGCAGATTAGTAAGAGAGAAAGACTACTTAAAAACGTTCAAAGGACTTGGACTAGAATTTATCAACATTTAAACAAATTTAAAAAAAAATGTTTTTAAGAATTATACACACAGACATACTAAAAAAAATGAATAAAAAAACAAAACAAATAAATACACTAAAAACTAGCCCCCATAAATACAAAATAAAAATCACAGTTTGTATTGTTTTATAGCTTTCTACAATTATAGTTGTTTTATCTTTACAAAAAAACAAGAGCCGTTAAACAGCGCACTCGACTATTCTCAGATAGAAAAGGGGCAGGGAACTTAGAGTTATGGTACCTGTGCACATGTTCGGTAACCATAGCAAAGAAATGCGAGAAGTCACAACGCATTTCTTTCAATAGTTTTTGGGATACCAACTTGCATGCAAAAACTTGAAATACCAACTGGCAAGCAAAAACTTGAGATACCAACTTGCACGCAAAAACATAGCCAAGTGTGACGCCAACACCGATGTGCTGATGTGAGTACAATGACTCTCCCTATTTTTCAAATAGTCAAGCTAAAAAACAAGATTACAAACTCACTTTGAGCAATATCTACGTCTATAAATACAAATCAGTACAAAAAATAAAATCTGTTTGCATCTGTTATTAATCAAATATAAATGAAGCTCTCAAATTAAAAAAAAAAAACGCTGCAATTTTTTTTTGTGAACAATCAATCCGTTTATAAAAAATGTGGAGATTTCTTGAGTACAAAGTCATTATTTACACATAAATAAATGTATGCTATCAAAAATCAACTTCTTTTTTTGTTTGTTTGTGACACTGCACACTTTTGCATACTTACACAGACATCAAATTAATTTAAGGAAGAAAAACATTTATACCTGGAAATGAATAAAAAAAAAGGAACTTCCTACCTAGAAAGGAGATTTTTCTTAATTGCAAACAAGATGCTTCTATTTTATGACTGACATTTATTTGCCAGAAACTTATTTGCTTTGTTTAAATGATCAGCCTGCCAAAACCATAATGCTAAGCATCCTGATGCGATCTCAAATATTTGAAATTCTCCGCAAGTCCACAGCAACATGACTGCTATCATTCTGGCATTATTCTGCTCAAGTATTTCAAAAACTGATTTCACCTTTTACAAGCTACAGATGATGAAAAAAGCATATGTTTTCAATGCTTTCCCGGGGATAAAATAATGTAATAAGCTTAACAAATCTGTATAAATAGCTAAAACAACCTTAATTTAAAGTGTAGCACAAGTAAAAAATTCACAGGGGGGAATAAAATAAAAGATTTAAAACAAATAATATATAAAAAAGTTTTAAAAAAACAAAACTCTAAAACAAAAGCCCAAAATTATAAATACATTCTTGACCACATATGCTGACTAGACATGACTCAAAAACCTTTCCTTTATATATATAAACATCCCCATATGAAATCTAGGGCAAACACTTTTCAAACCTTTCTTCCCGACTTTGGCTACCGTAACCTGACAGGAAAGTTTCTATTCCAAAACCTCCCCCAACACACCCCACCCTGCTCAAGAAATCCATGAAAAAAAAACACTTCCTTCACACCTCTCTATTAAATAACCAAATAACCAAAGCTGTGACTTCACAGGGCTTTTTTACCTTCAATAGCAGGGGCCGGTATAGGGCTGCTTCTCCAAAGAAAAATTCTGAAAAATCATGCAGTTTTCCCCAAAAATTGAATTTACATCAAATTTTTTCTTCCCCTTCTGCAAATATAGTGTAATTTTTCCCCAAAATTAAGGGCAGGGCTGCTTCCCCAACCTTTGAAAAAAAAAGCCCTGTCTCACTTATTTTTTTTTTAATCTACACTGGTAACAATTAAACCAATCACTGAGGACGGCAATGGATCTTATGGCATCAGTTCAGGTATTTTAGACTGAGCCCATCAAGATGCTGTATTATTTTCCCCAAGTATTACATCATTTTCTAATTATCATCTAGATGTGTATGCCTTCAACAGTATCTAATTACAATTCTCACACTAAAATGAAAATGCGCAAAAAAAGAACAATGTAACTTAACTTTTAAAGTATAGCTACATTAGTGTGTGTGGGGGGGAATAGAGTTTGCCGCTAGATTTACATAAGCCCATCAATATTCACAATATATATTTTACAAAACAATTCTTATTTATTTATCTATAATCTATATCTGTATTGAAACACAAGTATTGCATTCAGCCCTAAATAAGAAAACTCTGGGTAATAAAATGACTATAATACAAAAACAAAAATCACCTGTATTCACAACCAGTTCGTATGGTTTATAAATAATAATTTCTCTTCTTTTTCTTTTTTTACATATGTTACAAAACAAGAATATAATTCTTTTTTAATCATTTGTTAAACTGTTTACAATATTTGTAGTTTTGTAACACTGGAGCACATTTCAACCCAAAAACATAATGAAAAGTAGGTATAACTAACAAAAAATCTTAATATAGAAACTCTATTCACAGAGCCTATGAAAGTATAAATACAAGAATCTACATAAATATATAAATAATTTTTTAAAAAATGCATAAATAAAACAAAACGTAACAAAAAAGGGGGTAAAAAAATGGCAAGAAAACTATTAATAAGGATGAAGATAAAAACACAGTGTATGTAATCTCTGTTAAGCTTACAATATTCGTAAGTTATCCTATACTTTTTTTGTTTTGCGTAGACTAACTCAAACATTTCTCAATATATTCTAGGTGTATAGATGATAAAAGATATTGTCTTTATTTATTATAATTATGTCATATACAGAGCTCCAGATAATTTTTTTGGCCAAGGGGTTTTACCCCTCAAAATATGGTGTGAGGGGTAAATTGCAAATTCTAAAAATCTTAAGGGGGTAAAATCTGTCAAAAAAGCATTTTCTATTTTTTAGAAACAAATTAAACTGATGTTTTTTTTGTATGTTTGTTCATTTTCTTTTTTTTTAGAAAAAAAATTTACAAATAAATACTGATTCATTGTGGAACAATACAAAACATGCTCTGTAAAGTCAAACTTCTAGAGTATACTGGAACTCAAGTTTAGGATACACAGCAAAATTATCAGGGCTTCCATTTTCAAAATTTGGAAGTCAAAGACTTCAAAATCTCTGATATTGGAAGTCACATTATATAGGTAAAGAAGGAAAAGTATTGATTTTCAGAAGTCACAGGCCAAAATGAAGGAGTAAATGACTCCCAAACTTCCACTAGTGGAAGCCCTGAAATTATTTTATTTTCTAGGAGTCAATATTTTTCTTTCTTTATTTCTGTTGGCATGTTACTTTGTACCTTATAATGTACTCCAGTTTGAACAATTATAGTTGAAATTAGAATTAAAGAAACATAAACAAGATTTTTTTTATATCTTTCCTTAAAAAAAGTATTGGTCTGAGAGAAAATTGTCCGTAACTGTAGACTGGGTACGAAAATATTGAGTTCAAAACTGCAGGTGAAAAACATGTTATTTTGATCCAACAACAAAAGTAAAAGAAATTAAAATATATTTTTGTTTATATTGAAGCATAAGCCATGTCAATAGATGACTAAACAAACTTAATACTGTGTCAACTCCTACGATGATTATCTGGCACAAAGTTCATCAATAATTTCACAGGTTGATCTACGGGAGTTACCTCCCTTCTGTATTTCCTGCTACTTTCCTTTTTAACATGCGTTGTTGACAACAGAATTTTTAGTTTTCAATGCAATAAAATGGAAATATATTGTATTTTTATGCTCAAAACATTTTCTTTCTACATATCAAATGTTTACACTTCTATTCTTTCACGCATAAATTTTGACATACGAGCGTATTTTCATTTTGTTGTGCGTAACTGTGACGCACGAATTTTGAAAGTGATGCGTATTTTAGATTTTCTATGTGTATTTTACGCTTATACGCACACTATCTGGAGCTCTGCATATATGTTGCTTTTGGGCCTAGAGGCCATATCATGCAAATAGAAATTAAATGTATTGACCATGTACAGACAGATAATACATCTAATTGAAAATTTGCTGTCCCTTATGTACCAAAAAAAACCACCCACTTTTTACTGTTTATCTACATTTTTAGATGCTAAAATCATGTGAATTCATGCTAACCATCGCTTTTTCGTTTCCATATACTCAGTTTTTACATGTCTATTACTGGATCCATCAAAATGTTTCTTATTTTATATCCAGAGGGATGTATCCTCTCAGAAATTGAAGATGTTTATTCTACATCAGATATCAATTAAAATTCTCTTAAACAGCAATTAGTTCATCTCTCCTTAGCAATAATTAGACACATAGAACTGCAAATTGGAGAAAATGTCAAATTGCAGTTTCAAGGTGTGTCAAGAATTTGCACAAAATAGCCAGAATAAAGCATTATTCATGGGTTTTTTTGCTTTTTTTTCTAAAATAAAAACATTTAAAAACAAAAATCACATTTTTTTAAAATTTTGATAGTAAATATAAGTTTTAAAATCTTGCCAAGTCATCCAAAAACTTTAAATTATGGTAACACTAATTTTGCAAAAGGATTATTTCTCTTGATCTACGCAAATCATGTAGACATATAAATCTGCCTGTAAATATTTTTCAAAAATTGATTTTTGGTCAAAAAAAATGTGTCAAAATAGTTACATTAAAACAGTCCTACTTTCTTTCTCGCGATGAAACACATATGGAATGTACAGAGTGAAAAAATGGTTAAAAATAAAGTACTGAAATGTGTGTGTTTGTGTGCGTCTTTGAATGAAGGACAAATCCAAGTTACACTAAAACAATAAATAAGAGGCAACCTTAATACACGAGTCAATATGAAACCTTGACATACAAAAATAAACTATTTTTACACACACAAAAAATGAAAATTATATTACATTCTCAATTTGCAAAGCAAAATAAGAAATTACAACAGATCAAATTTTTTTTAACTATTTTTTTATATATTATTGCTCTTTCCTATACGAAAATATAAAAGTGAAAAACAATGATCACCACCGAAATATATAACAAAGCTTGATTAATTCGCTAGAAAAAAGGGATTTCATACATTTATCACTAACCATTATTTAATCGGCACCAAGTCGTGACAAGGTCAGTCCGAGTTCATAAATCAAAACTAGAATCAAAAATATCAAAATAAAAATACAAAAATATATTCAAACTTGCAATGTCTTTAAATAAAAAAATCCCACAAAAATAATACAAAAAAATTCTCATAACAAAACCCAACACCAATTTTTCCCTCCCTTTATCATCTGTGTGGCATAGCAGAAATGTTTCATTCTGGTACAGTCTATAATTTTCCCCTCGCCCACAACCTTTTAACACCAACGAAATGGAACAGCTCTTGGTCTATCCGCACCCTCTTTCACCAGGGGCTTGTGGAACTCGCGTCCTGGTCGGGAATGGATCTGAGCCCAGCAATGCTCGCAGTAGTACTGGAGGCAGGTTACGTTAGCACAGAAGAATGGAGCAAACTTGCCACCGCACCTTGCTCCCTGACACTCGTCACACATCTGGTCATCTAGCACATATGGTTTCACTTCAACCTAAATACAAAATGGTATTTAAAGCATGGCATTGAATTAAATTGTACAATAAATAAGACAAAACTCAAAATATCGCCTCTGCAATCATAGACTTTATTCATATGAAGCCTGAAAAAAAATGCCTAGACTAGACTCTGCTATCATAAACTAAATTCATATGAATCCTGAAAAACATTGCCTAGACTCTGATACAATAATCAGGGTTACTACTATCCAGTGTATGACTGAAAAAATAGAGCTAAAAATTAATACAAACACTACAAATCTTGTACTGCCAGAAAATATTCTTTCTCAGTTTCAAGATAAATGCCAAATACTTTTATAGACAGTCTCTGCAAATTTGCCAATAGTAGTATTAATTAACAAGACTTCTTTTTACGCAACATTTAAGTAAAACAACAAGAAAAGCATTGATGCAAAGCATCAAAGGGCGACGCCAAAAGAATTTGATCCAGGTTTGCACCTAAATACTTAACAAAAGATGTGTACTGTATAGCACTACCATTTCATGTGACCTGGAGGCTTGGCCCAGTTTATGTTGAAACTTAAACCAAAAAGAATAGACTCTGTCTTGCCAAGATGCAAAGACAATTTATAGTCAATAAACCAATCTTAAGATTTACTTTACCAGATACAAGGATACCTGAGTCATCATCATATAATGACAGGCACAAGTATCACACCTGGGAAGAAAAAATATGACCAGATTAATAAAAAATCTGTGTTCATCTTAAAAGTGTCAAAAACCAAAAAAAAATGTAAATAATGACCCCCTTTAAAAATATACTATTAACTTAAAGTATATTTTTAAAGGGGGTCATCATTTACATTTTTTTTGGTTTGTGACACTTTTAAAATGAACACAGGTTTTTTTATCAATCTGGTAATATTTTTTCTTCCCAGGTCTGATACTTGTGCCTGTGCATATAATAAAAGCTTATTGCTTAGGGTTGCAGACATGTCATACATAAAAGAGGACCTAAAATGAACATCAGGGGGACACCATAGGTATTCAGAGAGAAGGAGTACCAGCCACATTCACCAGCTGCTATCATAGATAAGACTTGAACCATGCAAGAATATCATTACATATGGCAGATGCTTGAAGAGATGAAGAAGAAGAAAAAAGAACTTCTTCATGTGCAGTTTAGTGTGATCAACTGTACCAAATGCTTTTTGTAGATTTAAAAGTATCAAGCAAAACTGCCTTTGTCCATTTCAAATTAAATGCAATCTATTAAATGAATCAAACATGTGTCAGTTGAAAAACCACTTCTAAACCCTGACTGAAACTGCCTGATCATGACTCGAACCCATGACTTTCAGAAGACCAACTGAGCTATCCGGCCGGCTACACATTTTCTCTTTAATAATGAAACAGTTCTAAACCTAAACCTTTTTCCCCACTATATTGATTCAAGTACTTGAATTTCTGATGTTTACAGAGCATACTCAATTAAACTCATGGTTATTTGCAGTAACAGGATGAGAAAAACTTTCAGCTTGACCAGAACTCAAACCTGTGACCCACAGAATAATGTACTGCGGCTGTAGCGATTGAGCTATCTGGTCGCTTACACATTTTCTCCCCTAAATAGTGAACAGTTCTAAACCGTGACAGATATTTAGATTTTTAAATTAACAGATAATTAATTCTTAATTAATAAATAAGAAAAAAAAAACCTTACATACTCATAGTCTTAATTAAAATAACAATTTATATAATTATTATTGTATAATTATTTTTACTAAAAAGGGCTAAGACAGTTATTGGTTGTGCCATTATTTATAACAGGTCAATTTGAAAGAGAATATAACTGTGCTAATACATGTACAATATCTATGATAAGAAATTTTATGAAGGCTGATTTGTATTTTACATCAAGGGCACCGGGCAAAAACATGAAAATGCAACAAACGAACCACTTTGTGGTAGATTGTATTTTCATGTTTTCATCTGGCGCCCGGTTACTTTTTGTACTTTGTTGGTTTTCATGTGGCACAAATCACCCACTATAAAATTTAGTGTACAAATTTATTCAAGGACAAGTATCAATCTACCCTATGAAAAGTCTGTTGTCGGGTTGACTCAGGAGACCTGGAGATTGAGACCGGTGTCCCTCCATTACAAATAGATAAGGCAGAAGCTGTCCTTTTCAAACTATGCACATGTTAGAAAAAAATTAGAATAACTATTCAGAACATGATTTTTTGAGGCTTTATCAATTATATTGCTTGATCCAAGTTTCAGGACATTTTCAATCAATACATGTATTATCATTTATAACTTTAAATGAAAGTCTTATCTCTTAAATAATAATGACATAACTGCAACTCTTTAAATTCAGAAATATTATAAGTCTCATCATACCAATATACTAAGATATAAATGTATGCACATAACATTAATAATTCCAAGTTTCTATTAAATAAATATGAAATATTGGGTATATAAAGCCAGTAAAAGTATATATATATCAATATTCACTCATCAGGGCCTCTATGCTTTTGATGACCTTACAACTGGTAAATTTTATAAAACAAAAATTGTAATCAATACCTAAATTAGACAGAAAAGAACAAATAATTTAGTAAACATGAGTTACTTCCCCTTGAAATAAAGAAAACATGAAACCCAAAAGAACACCCTAAACATCAAAATTTATAAATGTTGCAGGCTCATTTTAATTATGCCATGCAAATTAATGGTAAAGTATTCATAAAAAAGTAGATGGCCATGTGACAGCAGTAATTGCAGAAAATCGGATAGCTGTCAACATCCGGATACTGGTACACTTTGTAAAAACAACCATTCTGTTCAACAGATAAACGTAATATGGATAAAATCAATAGGATAATCGTTTACAACAGTCCATTACCTATCCTAATACTCATTTGCAGGTGAACTTTCTCCTTGTAGGAAAGTTTTGAAAATATATAAATGAATGAGCATCAATGTAGACCACAACGATATTCGAAATCCGGGTTTTAGTATTGTCAATAAAACAAAGGGACAAGCTGTTAATCTGAGCCTGCAATTTCGTGAAAATAATATCACAATGCACATGCTTTTTATATAAAGTTATTAAATACAAATATAACAACATATTTGTTTACTTGATTTTTACGAATCAAAATAAATATTATTAACACGACATGAAATTAACTGCTAATAATAACAGCTCCTTCCATAGGCCAAAATAAAAAGTATTCCATAAAAGACGACGCCGCTCACCGGCGTCGCCAATGATAACTGTCTTTTATCCTAGAAAAATCAGCATGGTGGGGAAAAAATGTAACCAGACACTCAAATTCCATTAGGCATAATGTAATATTGAAATGCAAACTATTTAGAAAAAAAACATTACATAAATGGGAGAAAATGTGTGTAATTGATGAAACCCATTCAGAATCTACAGCTCACAATTATATACTTTATATTCATTTTAACCCTAAAGTGAAGGTCACCCTGGTGAATTTAATTATCACACTGACAGTGTGAAGGTCATATAGAAGATTTAAATGTCACATAGTAATTGCCTACACATGTATTGTATTCATGAATCTATTCTCCAGCAAATTTAATGGATATCCAAATTAATATTGGAAGCTTGTCTGTAATAATGAATATTTTTATGTTTCATATTTAACAGCAGTATATGATTAAATACTAAATTATTGTTAGCTATTAAATTACAAAAATCAAAATATTTCAATACATAAATTGTTATAGCTGATGGCAGGTCAATTTTAAAATTCTGATAAAAAAAACTACTAAAAGCAGCTCGACTCCAGATTCATGATAATTTTCATTATAATTTTTAAAGAAATATTTAAAAGTAAAATATTCTATAGTGAACAAAAAAATAAAATAATTTTCACATTGCTAAACGGCAATTATAGCCCATTAAAATTGCCAAAAAGAGGTCAAAATAGGCAAAAATGGTCATTACTGCTTAGTCACGAAGTAGAAATACGGTGAAAAGTGAAAATACTGCAAAATCGATCATAAATCGCATATAACATGAAAATGATTACTTTAATCTTTTTCCTTTTCTTAAAGTCTCTATTTTTTTCTCAAGTTTGATATTCTTTAAATATTTTGGTTTATCTGAAACCATGCAGCTTTAAATTATCATTAGATATTTCTAAACTCAAAATTGCTTAGGTTAACATATAAGAATAACCATTAATATGTGACATGTTCATTATAACAATAATATTAACAAGCATTTGATAGTATTGCGAGCAATACAGTAGTCCCTCAAAAAGTTCTTTAATTGTCATACACTCCTGTGTATTGCCATTTATAATGAATTTGAGGATGAAGTCTGTATTTGAAAATATCGACCACAAAACATAATAAAACAAGCATTTGATAGTATTGCAGGCAATACAGTAGTCCCCTACCGGTCCCTCAAAAAGTTCTTTAATTGTCATACACTCCTGTGTATTGCCATTTATAATGAATTTGAGGATGAAGTCTGTATTTGAAAATATCGACCACAAAACATAATAAAATAAGTTTGTCTATATCACAGTAATGTGTTAAGTTTCCATGCTTAGTAAGGAAATTATGTTTATACAACATTGTCATATTATTACGATGTGGGATTTTAAAGTAAATCCTATAAGGAATGAAGAAGTTGGAGTGAAAATACCAGTTTCTCGAAAAAAATCTAAGTTCAAGGGGGACATAATTCTGGAAATAGTCTTGCTAGAGTATTTAACCTTCTCAAAAATGTCGAGTGATAATAAGAAATATATATATGAAGTTTGAAGTAGATACTTTAGGAAATAAAGAAGTTATTTAAAAAAGACAACATTTTTTCCCCTAAAAAATCTAAGTTCAAGGGAGGTAATACTGATATTTTTTGTGCTAGAGTTATAAACCTTGTCACATATGATGTGGTTGATGACCAGAAACTTATATTTAAAGTTTGAAGTAAACACCTTAAGAAATAAAGAACATATAGTGAAAAAGCTGAAAAATTTAAATCAGAAATCTTGAAATTCAGGCTATTTGTTGCCATAGCAACCAGAATTTTCAACATAAGAAGAAAAAAAAAAAGATGTGCATAATCTCCAGACTGCCATCTACCCATATTTCAAGTTTCATAAAAATATTTTCAGTACTTTTTGAGTTATCACTGGATCCAGTTTATGTGTTAAATTTGCCATATTTTCAGACTATTTGTTGCCATAGCAACCAGAATTTTCAACATGGGAAGAAAAAAAAAAGACGTGCATAATCTCCATACTGCCATCTATCCATATATCAATTTTCATAAAAATATTTTCAGTACTTTTTGCGTTATCGCGGGATCCAGTTTTGTGGACTGACGGACTGACAGACAGACGGACAGACAGACGGACGGAGGGTAAACCTAAAGTCCCCTCCGGTTAAACCGGTAGGGGACTAATAAAAATAAATCAAGAGAATAAACTCTTACCCGTTTATCTATATCACCGTGCTGTAACTGGACAAATCTAGCACTTATAGCTGCAATGTAACTCTGTTGGTTGGAGAAAGCCACTCTCCCCGCCCCCTTTGGATACTTGAGTTCTGGATCAGTATCAATACCAGCGTAACAAACTCCCCCATATAGCCGATCCATTATCATGGCAAGTTCAACTGAAAAAAAGAAAGAAAATAAAACATTAATTTTTCCCAATTTTTTTTTAATTTCTGAAGTCAAACAGTCCTTTAGACTAAACATATTGTCTAACCCCTTCAGGGCGACACCCTTTGGTACTTTGGGAGACAAATATTTTGGTTGTTGCCTATAGGTAACTTGTTCTACAGAGGTAGAATATGTCGGAAACCATTAACTTTGAGAAGATATTGCTGTATTGCTCCACAGAGAGTCGCTCTGTAGAAGCTATACTGTACTAAATTTATCAACAAATACCTTCCCATAGACTAAGGGACACATTTTTAACAAAGCAACTTAACAAATCTCACACAGATAGAAAGAAAACTGACATTCAAAAGGTAAAGGTCTAGTTTGTTATAGTGTCACCCCTACTGAGAGGACCAGCCATTTCTGACTTATCAGACACCTTTTGCTTGCATACCATGTACCTCCAAACTCATATGCCAGGCCGATAGAAATTCATTTTAACTACCTCACAGCTCATGTAGCGTCATTTCGGAACAAGGCCCACGAGAAACATTCAACCTTCAATTAACACTCCCAATGGGGCTCGAACTTTCGACCTCCTTATTCAAAGACGGACGCCTTAACCACTTGGCCAACAGTACCGGTATTATATTATGTCATACAATGTTTTATTTTGCATAGAAGAAAAAAAAAGGTAATTATATTTTCCACTGCAATGTCTACACGTGAGAGACTGTGAAAAACAGAGCGATTACAACTTCAATTCTTTACATCTATCCTGAAACATTCTGTAAGTTTTTATAATATTTCTATGATAAACTGAAATTAAATATAGTTGAATTTCAGATTTTTATTGGTTGATACTTATATGTTATTCTCTAATTATCACTCCTGAGTGCATTACATATCAATTTCTATTGTTATTTTTCTTCTTCCTTTTTTTTTAATTCAAACCTTTCGCGTGGGCTTCAAAAGCTGTACAAAAACAAATTAACAACTATTTCCATGTAATGAAATAAATGTCATAGAAAAATAATTGTTTGAATTTATCACTATAGTAACTAAACCGAAATTCATCACTATAGTAACAACACAAAAAGAAAATCTACATTACTGAAAGAAATCTAAACCTAATTACCCGATAGTACAAGAAATGAAAATTAAAATGGATTGATTTACTTCCAGAATCTATCTCATTTATTTCTTTTCTATCTAATAAACAAGGTTCAATAGTATTTAACATATTTTAAGCTACTTTGTATCCATAGACATGAATTACGAATTCTTCAGGCCATTTAAAACCCTTATTAACCTACTCAATTTCTTAAATGGACTTTGTCCAGCTTTCCTATTATGAACATTCCATCATAATTTTGGGGATGTCAAGATGAAAATTAAAACTTTGTCAGCCAACAGTATAGAGTCTGGTACTGCTGGAACAGGAAGTGATAAGTCCTTGCAACCAGTATAGAGCCAGGCTAGTCAGAATATCCATGTCTGACCAGGCCCTATACTGTTAACTTATCAACTTAAGAATTTTCATCTTGATATACCCAAATTTGATAATGGTCAGTTCCAAAAATTGAAGCTGACCAAGTCTTATTAATTAATTTGCCACGTTAAGAGTTAAGAAATAATCACATCTTTCATATTCCGAAAAAAAGCCACTGAGATATATAGCTTTCCAGATAAGGACAGTTAATCAATTGTGCCATTTGAGAATTCATGATCTTCCTATGAACTTTTACATTATTACAGAGTTATACAGAAACCTGAATTCATGTAAATTAGTGACCAAGAACTGCCCACTGGCCATATCTCAACATGTCCAAATCAATTCTTTTCTTTAGAGACAGCAAGCATTCCATTTGGCTTGATAAATGGTGTAGTTAATACTGAACTGACAATTGAATAGGGAGAAAGTAACTTTTTTATTCCATTGAATTTTGTTATTTCAGAAGTCTCCAGAATAAAATTTTTAGTTACTTAGACAGTAATTTTATCCCATGATGCCATGCCTTTCATCTTGAATAGGTTTTTTCTGTGAAATGCGAATGAAAAATTTTCCGTACCCCTCTGCTGTACTGTGATTAGAAGTTGCCTACAGTTTCTTGGAAATGAAAAATTATGTGTCTGAAAAACTACTTACACAAGTTAGCAAAAATGGCAGAGTATAACTCAAAACATAAATGAAAATGTACAGTAGATTTTGTCAGCGTCTGTTTTTCTATACTTCCTATATAATTATAGTCAGGGCCAAAACATCATTTTTAGGGAAGGGGCCTCAGCTTTTTCCTTGGGGAAAATATGTGTGATTTTGGCATACTTTTGGAAAAGGGATCTCAAATTTAACACAAACTTTTAACAAGTTCTTCAAAATAGAAAAGCAAAAAGCACTGGGCAATACTAATAAGGCAGTGAAAGAACTTAATTCAACACCATCATTTAATTTTGTTCTAAATTCTATGGGAAATTGCAGAAGACTGGGGAATTTGGAGGATGGGAAAAAAAGAGGCTACTTTTGGTTGGGGAAGCAGCCTATATTCGGCCTCTACAAAGAAGGGTTTGTTTGGCCCTGATAGTGTATAAATGAAAAATTTGGACCACTATGTATTTAAGGGCTTGTAGCCTTGCTTTTTTTACCAAAAGGTAAGCAGAGATAATCTAAAAGTATCAATGTGTCTTAGAAAGAGATTGAAGATAACTTGTCAGGCACTGTCAAAAAATAACATTCTTGCATTATTTAAAGTGAATTGAAAATAATGAAAGGTCTGTAATACCTGAAAGTATTTTGTATTAGACATAACAACCAACTGCAAAAGAATTATATTTGAAATATATTGGCAAGTGTGAGATACATGTTGGGATATTTGATATTTTTTATACAACAGATAATAAAATGATCTAGAACAAATATCATTATTCATCATAATTATATGACTTTAATCGGCATATTTTTTCACAAACATTTCATAAGAATATCCAAATAATACATTTCTATTGTTTTTATCAATATTTAGTTTAAACATATTTATTTCCCGAATATTTACATGATATACATAATACAATACAATCAGAATACAAATATATAATATATTCAAAGAAAAGGATGAGAACGAAAGACTAAGTCTTATAAAATTCTTCTCTTTTGAAAAAAATACTGAAATGTGCCCATTGGAGACCTATCCACTTTTTATCCATTGATCAGACTGATCTTAAATGAAGTTAAAATCTCAACAAAAATTATTGTTTTCGCAATAATAACATCATCCTTCTAGCTTAGTGATATCTGGTTATTTTCTTTTCAAATCTTCAATTAAAACTTCCAATTACACTTTTTTCTCCTTTTATTTTTAAGATTCTCTTAGATTTTGTTTTTCCTTTTAATTCTAAAATACAAATTCTAGTAATTTTTGCAGTGTATTTAATTTTGTTTCAAGAAAGAAGAGTTTCCCCAATTTAAAAAGTTGTTTTTGTCAACTTTGTAATCTTTAAACAAGAGTTTATATGTTGGTTAGAATAGAAAGAGGGTGGATAGAAAAAAATTTCAAGAGTGTAGGTAAAACTGTTGACATTAACAGAATCTTTTGTATTAAATTTCATACTAAAATTTGCATATTCAAGACATTCAAAACTGACATAAATCCAGCAATGAAACAAATATTGCTTATAAGATGGAAAATTGTATTTAATTACAGAAAATGAGTGTATTGATACACATCTTTTTGAACATGACCTCAAAATGTTATTTTGCTACCTTTTTTGTCAAGTGCTTTTATTCATTTAAGAAAGAAAAACCTAACTCTACTTTCTTAAAAAAGATGCTTTATTTGAAGAAACCATTCATGAACTGTCTGCTAAATAAATTTTATCAATATTTTCTTCAGCATGGTATTCTCATACCATGAAATGAATTACTTATTATTGTTTCTAATGACAGGAAATTTCACTATAAAGCTTAATTTGCATGCAAAGGGACACCAAGCAGGTTTCCCTTTTATAATAATTATAGTTTGATAGTCTTGACACTGTAATTAAGTACATGTCATGAAAGAACTTTTTTCTATAAGGCCATTATTTTTTGATATTTCGGTTTACTGACCCGCCGCGTCCATTTTTTGGGAAAATGAAAAAAAAAAAAAAAAAAATCTGCCCCGAAAAAAAAAGTACTCAAAATATGCGCTAATCAAATTTACATCTAAATGTTCTATTGGAGATTTATAGAAGTCCAACTTATTAGACTTGTCAAAGAAACGTCGAGATAATTTTTGACGGCGATGTATTTTGCATGAAGAAAAATGTCTGCAAAATGAGTTAAACCATTCTCGCCAAATTAATTAGGTTAATATCTATATATTTAAAATATAATTCATGTATGTATGTATAAAATCATATGTTTTGAAGGTCCAATTGTGTAGAAATGTCAAAGAAAACAACTACAAAAAAAAAAAAAAAAAAAAAAAAAAAAAAAATACGCAAGTTATCACTTTCATGGATACAGCGAGAGAAATCTTATTCAATGAGAATCAGATTAAATTAAATTTAAAAAGAAATATAGTGACAAGATCACTATTTACAGATTTAACAAAAACAATAGTCTTTAAAAGGAGATTAGATACGGGTTTCCTTTCAAACAAAATAAAAAAATGCACTTACTATTAATAATTTACATGTCAGTAATTGACCGCTAATTTTCCGATAGAAATATTTTTCAACTTGATTATGTCTATGTCTCTGACTTGGACAATAATTTAACATGTGTAATCTTTTCTTGACAGGTTTTTAAACTTCTGTTATATAAATAAATGAGTGCAAGTCAGTTGAGTTTCGGCACCTTTGATGATTCGGATTAAACAACTGGGACTACATGTGTGTGAACATCAAAGATTTACCGACTCTTTTGAAGGATCGGCGAGGTCATCTCGTTTGTATATTAAATAATAGCAACATGATATTTTATCAATTTGTGGATGCTATATTGTTGTTTTGTGTATTTATAAGCACTGTGGAA